GCCCCCGCCCCGCCCCGCCCCGCCCCGGCACCCACCGAGAAAGCCAAATCCCGAGATGCGCCTTTTCCGAATCTGTCTCCTAGTGGGCCTGGGCAGCGGGTTCTCCAGGCGGCAACGTTCACCTGGGGACCCCCCCACACCTGAATTCCTTGCTCCTGTCGGAGTGCCCAAGCTGAGAGCTAAGATCTTCCCAAACCCGGGGCCCGAGGTCACCTGGGGCGCAGGAAGCTGCAGGTGTACCCCTCCCCCAGTTTTGTCCCCGCAGCCTGAGCTGAGGTGGGGCGCCAAGACGAGTCACTGAGGAATAAGCCCCTGCCCTCTCTTGGCGCTCTTAGCTAAGTCCCATTCTGTAACGAAGCCTCCAGCCCGCAACTGCGGCCTTCCCAGCCACTCTCTGACCAAATGCTCGCTACCGAACAGCGTCCTTCCTGGCCCAAGTACGCAGGAAATGCACCCTATTCCCAAACCTAAGTGCTGCAGTAAGCCGGCCGTCCTGTCCTCTCCCCGATTTATTCGTGCAATTCGCAAGCTTTGCAGCCACCAGGATCCTCTCCAGCTGCGCCCCGAGGGCAGACTTGAATTCCACCCATCTCTTCCCGCTGTGACCCTAGGAGACCTAGACACAGCATTGGCAGAGGCTGGCGCCAAGGCCCAACACCCTGAGACCTGTCTTAGCCCAGCGAAGACCTCCCCCGTGACTTCTCACCCACCCTTCTCTGCATTTCATCTGTTTCCCCAACCTTTCCATATCTGTTCCTTAATTTCTCCTTCTGCCCATGCTTTTTTGTTGTCGTGTTTGTTTTCTGTTTGTAGAAATATTCTACTAGAAGTTAGAGAGGGAGGGATCTTGAAAGCAGTGTAATGTCCAGACCAGCAGATGGTGTAGCCATTATGTCGCTGGACTCTCACATGGCCACCCGCGGTTCTAGTCCCAGACCCAGTGGCTTGAAAATCACACCAGGCACATGTGCATGCGTGCCCAAGATCCCAGGAGAGAATGGAGGAGAAGGGATTATGGAGTGACCATCCCCTTCATGGGGTGATTTATCACCTTCCCTCTCACAGTCTCTGTATCTGTCTCTCTTTCTCTCTCTCTGGCAAGCTCAAGCAACCTAAGCCAAAAACCTTTATAAAAAAAAAAAGTGTGGGGCCAGCAGGTAGTGCGGTGGTTAAGGGGGCTTGACTCCCACATAATCAACCTGAACTTGTGGTTCGAGTCCCAGACCTGGCCACTTTCTTTCTCTCTCTCTCTCTCTCTCCCCGTCTCCCTCTCTGGTCAAATTCAAATAAATTTAAAAATTAAATAAAATAATTCTTGAAAAAGTAACACCCTTCATTTTACTTCATTTAATCTTGAGAGGTTAACTTGTGTTCTGTTTCCTAGGTATACTGGGCTGTGTTCTGTAGGTCAGTCATCCACCCTCTCTGAACCGTAAAGCGCTGCAGGATTATTGGGAAATTTGAATACAATCTCCATGAAAGTACACAGTGGGCATTCATATATTTACTTATTTCCCTTCCTTCCCAGCCAAGGCAGGGCAGAGCCAAAGAGCCAATCCAGGTTGCTCTCTCCACTGTTCCCCAAGCCCAGGTTTCCCATTTCTGTCTGGACTCCCCCATCCCACACGCCCTTGCCATTCCCAGGTTCTGTTCAGTTCCTTCGTGCCTTTATGTTTCTCAGCTCCCAGGCCAGCCCCAGAGGCCATGTAGGAAATGTTGGGAAGGTTCTCGGTGTTCACTACTCTGGCCGCTCACCATAAAGCTCTTTCTCTGTTATTCAGTTCCAGGACCAGGCCAGATGACTCGGTGGTCCCCGGAACCAAGTCAGGAGGGAGGCTCTGGGGTCTAGCTTGATCTAGTCACCCAAGATCTTCCCACCCCACGATTCTGTTCAATACAAAACATACTCATGAAGCACAGGGGTCTGCAGCAGGAGGGGAATGTGGCATCATTTTCAAGGAGGGGAATGTCTAGCAGGGAGCCCCAGACAGATACCGGTAAAAGGGTGCCTGACAGGAGGACAGGGTCAGTTCTGCAGTAGCGGCAAACACCGCTGTGAGGATACACAGCAGGCTGATGGGCCCATTCATTCTTTTTATCAAATATTTACGGACTACTCCCTGTTATATGCTAGACACTGTGGCAGGCACTTAGGAAGGGAAGGACTTGCAAATATTAGAATCCAACCTTATGACTACAGAGGCATGTGCGAGAATCAGGGGAGTTTTGTGAAGTAAAAACAGTCAAGATGGGCTTTGAAGAATGGGGAATATGTCCTTTCTTTTTCTTTCTTTCTTTTTTTTTTTTTTTTTTAAAGGTTTTTACCATAGGGCATGTGTGCTTTTCAGAGAGAGAGCAACAGAGAGGGGTAAAGTGAGAAATCATCCCTAGGAGGGATGGCCATACCACAGTCCCTTCTCCATTCTCCTCCCTGGATTCTAGGCACACACATGCTCAACAGTTGCCAGGTCTGGGACTTGAACCTGTGGTCTGCCATGTGGGAGACCAGTGCCTCAACCACCACACATGCCACTTGCTGGCCACCAAATGGGCAGTATTTCTTTTTTTTTTTTTTTGAGAGGTTTTCACTATAGGGCACGTGCGCTCGCCAGACAGAGAGAGACATAGAGACAGAAAGCGAGAAATCACCCCCCAGGGGGGATAATCACACCGCAATCCCTTCTCCTCCATTCTCCTCTCGGGATCTTGGGCACGCACGCACATGCGCCCGGCGTGAGTTTTAAGCCACCGGGTCCGGGACGCGAACCGTGGTCAACTACGTGGGAGTCTAGCGACATAGCCATTACGCTAACTGCTGGTTCCCAATGGGCAGTATTTCTAAAGGTGGAGATAAAGTAAATAAATTCAGCCAGAGGGACTGAAATTTGGAAAGGTCAGAGGTGGCAGAGGGTAGAGTCTGTGAGGTGCAGCATGCAATCCCTTCTGGCTGGAGCAGAGTTGAGGAGGGGAACAAGAGACAAGAAGAAAGGCTGGAAAAGTGATCTGGGACCTCGCTGGATGACCCATGGGTGCCCAAGCCAAAGGCCTTTATATCAACTCCAGGGTTGCCAGATTTATCAAGTGAAAATATGAGATGCCCAGTGAAATTTGAATTTCAAACAGGGGATAGTTTGTAATGAATATATGTTCCATGCAATATTTAGAATATGTTTATACTAACCATTTTGTTGTTGTTTCCTGAAACTCAGATTCAACCTACATTTTATTGGGCAACTTTTTTTAGAGAGAGAGGTTTTTGCTATAAGGAGCATGTGCTTTCCGGAGACACAGAAAGAGACAGAGAGAAATCACCTCCTCCCCCACAACCCAAGGAGGATGGCCATGCCACAATCCCTTCTCCTCATTCTCCTCTTGGGATTTTGGGCACACATGCACAGGCTCCCAGTGTAAGTTTCAAGCTGCCAGTTCTGGGACTTGAACCGCAGTCAACCATGTGGGAGTCCAGTGCCTTAACCACTACGCCACCTGCTGACCCTATCTGGCAACTTCCGTTAGCATCATCCTTTGGAGGGTGCTCCCGGATATCCCCGGGACTGAACCAGGTTTGGAGTGGGGCTCCCTTCCCATACTGCTGATCTGCATTCGCAAGTAGATCCTGCAGGTAGATGGTTCCTAAAGCAGTGGGAAAGGGTCACTCTACCCAGTCTGCACCCTAGCCCTGCAGATGCCAGTGGGAACCCTTCCAAGAAGTAGTTTCTACAGCCCACAGCCTGTGAGAACCGTGAACAGCGGCTCCGCCTCTGCTCTCGGGTGAGCTCAGCAGCCAACACTGCCGTCTGTCCTCGGAGTGTTCAGTGGGGAAGTTCCTCGGAGATACCGTCAAGATGTGTAGATAAAGTGTGTGGAGGAAACGGTGCTGAAGAAGTCTGTGGTGGTGGTGTTACTCGCATGTGAGGGAACTGAGACTTGGAGGGAGCATAATCTTCTGACTCACAGTTTAAAACAGAAGAGCAGAAAACGAGGGTCCCAACCCTAGGACAGTATGCAGAGACCCTAAGTAGGAGTCACCCATGCAGGTGCATTATGAAAAGGAGGGAATGTCAGGGTTGGGGTTTCTATCTTTAAAAAATAGGCTTGTGTGTGTGTGTGTGTATGTGTGTTGGGGTGTGCATGCTCTCTGGAGAGACAGAGACAGTGAGAAATCACCTCCTAGTGGAGACGGACATGCCACAATCTCTTCTCCTCCATTCTCCTCCCGGATCTTGCATATGCACACACATGTGCCCAGCATGATTTTCTTTCTTTCTTCCTTCCTTCCTTCCTTTCTTTCTTTCTTTCTTTTTTTATTTTAAAGACTTTTCTATTTAATTTAATTTATTCATTCATTTATTTCAATTTGACCAGAGAGACACAGAGAAAGTAAGTAAGCAAGCCACCAGGTCTGGGACTTGAACCATGGTTAGCCATGTGGGAGTGTCCAATACCTTAATCACCATACCACCGGGTGGTCAATCCCCTAGCATGATTTTCAGGCTGCTGGGTCCAGGACTCAAACCATGGTCAACCATTTGGGAATTTAATGGCCATCTGCTGGCCCCTTAATTAGGTTTTTACTTTATCTGCGGAAATGCAAAACATGGTGATGGGCTCCCACATCATGCCAAGGCCTGTCCTTTAGTCACAAGAGTCCGGCTCCCTGGCACTCCAGCTGCATCTGCTCAAAAGTCTCTCGTCTCCTCCTGAGCCCCAGCACCAGCTTTGAGCAGAGGGAGTGAAGAAGGAATAAGATGAGAGCCCCAGGGGCTGTAGCTTCAGGGGTAAAAAAAAATTATGAGACCTCACAGAAGGGTCGGGAGACCCGAGGGGAGAATGAGCCCCTAAGGATCCTTCCGGAGCTGATTAGATGGGAGGCCGGAAG